CCGCCCAGCGCCCTCCCCGGCCCCGTCTGCTCCTGAACGGCGCTGCCTCCTGGGGTGCCCGCTATCTGCTGGCCGCATTCCCATCCTGCAGATCATCGGGAAGCCGAGGCAGCGAGGCCCGAGCAGGTGGCAGGGGCAGGACTGGAGCTACTAGGAGCAAAGCATGTCAAGGGCACAAAAGCACCGCGCAAAGACCCAGAAGGGGCCACTCCTTTTAAAATAAAAAGGATTTTATTTACCTTTAATTATTTATTTTAATTTGACCAGAGCGGGACAGAGTGAGAGAGGTAAGAGGGTAGTGAGAAAGCAAGCCGCCAGGTCCAGGACTTGAACTGCAGTTGGCCATGTGGGAGTCCAGCACCCTTAACCACCATGCCACCTCCCGTCCGGGACATGCTCCTTCTGATGGATGGAATTAGCAAAGGGGCAGAGCTTTTAGGCAAACTCAGCATAACAAAAGCACACACTGGTATTTTAAAAATATAGATATTTTTATTTATCATTAGTAAAAGGAAGTTCAATACTGACAGGAAGATGCAAGTTCGTCCTTTCATGCGTTTGTAGAGCAAGGGCACTGAACCCCTATGTTCCCAGACCGGGCCTGAGAACAAGCCTTCTTGCTGGCTTTCCCTCGAAGTGGGCCACTCTACGAAGTCCAGGGCATTCTAGACGGAAGCTGGGCGTCACCGGCCCAATGAGGCAAACCACTCTTCCAAACTGCCTTATTGCTACTGCCTTGAATTGAGGGTTCTTAAGAAGCTTCCTGGTGATACATGCAAGCAACCTAGCTTTCAAATTTTAACAGAGAAATTCGCTTTCAGATGCGGACTGCAGAACGGTTGTGGAAGTTATTTTTTGATTGTTTTCCAAAGTGAGTCAGGCTCTAAAAGGTTTACCATTTAACTCAGAGCCTGTGCTCCATCACTGGACTCTGCGGCCAGCATCATCAGACCAGAATGCCGTCAGAGACTCCAGGGAGGAGCCGAGCGGCTCTCAGTGAGAGGTGGGTCTTCTCAACGTCCTGTGGGCGAGGGCAAACCCAGGGGCCACCATGGTCCCGTGGGGACACCTTTCCCACTGCTTCGCCGGCCATGATGCCACCCAAGTGCGGGCTCCACCCTGAGGTTGAAATCAAAATCTGTTTGACTTAAGAAATGCTGTGGGTTTATTTTCGGATTCTCTTGACACACAGCAGGAGACATCTGAATGAAAGCTGGAAAATGCAGCCATTGTGACATTTAGCTTTAAGAGAATATATAGATATTTAGCATCCAGACAACTGGCCATTTCTCTCTAGATATTTGCTGTCAAGAACGAAATATAAGTCTTAAAAATTGTGTATGTCATAGGTTCTAGCAAGGAGCTTAAAAACGGAACAGAGCAACCATTCTGGAAACATCACTTTGGAACCACCTACTTTACAAAGAAATAAAATGTCCCCGATGTCTAAAAGACACCATATCAAGCTATTTCCAGAGTTCCTTCCTAAAAGTTAAGATTATAAATTCAATTTTATATAATTACATTCTACTGAATCATTGGAAAAGTCATGATTTTTTTTCTTTTTTTTTTCCAAAGAGAGATTTTTGCATGCACTTGCTGGAGAGACAGAGACAAAGAAAGAGGAAGCAAGAAATCACTCCCCAGGAGGGATGGCCATGTCGCAATCACTTCTTCTACATTCTCCTCTCAGGATTTTGGGCATGCACACACACTTGCCTGGCATGAGCTAAAAGCCACTAGGTCAGGGACTCAAACCACAGTCAACTATGTGGGAGTCCAGCGACAAAACTACTATGCCACCTGCTGGCCCATAACATATTTTTCTATGCAAAAATGTGTCATGACTTTTCCAAAGACCCAACAGATAATGACTCAATAGATTTTAATCAAAAAATGACTCTTTGTTCTACACCCTGTTAAGATGTGATCAGAACTGAAAAGTGGCCCCTATGCCACCTGCCAAGGGAGCAGTAAAAGCCACAGCGAGTACTTTATGTCCTCAGTTTCCTGACAGTGAAGAGCACTCCGAAGTCCTGGGTTCCTAGGGATGAACTAGGAACTGTGATTATGACGGATCCTTGGAATAAAGCGACAAAAATGGCAACGTGCAGGGCATCAGCTCTGGGAAAAGCCAGTTTGAAACCTGAATAACATCACCCGGTTTCATATCCACCCAACAGAAATGGCCAACGGCACACCTCTCTGGGAAACTTAACCTGGAGTGGAGTTTCATCAGTATTGTTTTATGTTTGATCATTTACTGTGAGGGACAAATGGCAGGAAAGCAGGACCAGCTCTGGGGAACACGTCGAGTAGCAGCACAGAATCTTCGCTGAGGTTGGAGAGGTCTCATTTCAGAGGTCCAGGCATCCATCTGCTGTGCGGGCCGTGCCTCCCAGCAGACCAGTCTTAAAACTGCCTGAAAGGATGGGCTTACACCCCGTGCTTGTGTTCATAGCCCTGCTGGTAATGGAAGAGGCAAACTACTGCTAAACATGGAAAAAAGTATGGACACACATCAGCCTTTCAATGTATCACTCGAAATGTAAAGGAAATAAAAATATTTCAAAGTTCTTTTTGAAAATAATTGTTGGGCCAACCCTATAGCCCAGTAGTCAAGGGAGCTGGATCCCACAGGGCCGGTCCTGGTCCGAATCCCAGTCCTGGAGTCTTGAAAAACACGTGCCCCAAATCTGACAGGGTGGAGAAACGGAGGAGGGATTGTGGCATGACCATGCTCCATTGGGGTGTTTTCTTCCTCTCCCTCTCTGTGTCTCTGTCTCTCTCTGGAAAGTACGTATGCCCATTTATTTAAAAAATATAAAATTTTAAAAAGGAAGAGAATGATCTAAAATTAAAGTAGTAAAACACAAAAAGGAACATAATGTTTTACAATATTCAGAACAGATCAAAATATCCAACAGGACGACCTCAGATCCATGCACAACTGAACGTCGAGTGGGCAAATTAAAGAGGGCGCATTAGCTGCCAATCTAAAGGGCGTTCGAAAGTTTAAAAGAACTCTAAATACTTTTACCAGACCTTTACTCAGAAACAGTCTGAAGGTGAAAAATGTGTAATCACACCCTTCTCAAGGATGAGCACAACCTCTCCATAGTAAAATATCCTACTTTATGCACTGTTATAAAAATATACAAGATGCTACTTTTTACCTGCCCCCCTCAGAATAACCCTACAGGGTCAGTAACGTCAGCCCCGCCGCTCACAGGTCCCGACTATAGTCGCGTGATAGCCTCTTCCGTCACCCTTGCCTTTAAGGCTCAGCACACAGCTTATCTTTGCAAACACATCATTTCCATAATTGTCTCATGTAGGAATAACAGCATATGTCTTAAAAAAAAAAGGTAGGACAACCATTTGTTGTTATTTGATCCCATTTTCTTCTAGTTATTAAAATAAGACAAGATTGTAGAAATAATCCTCTACTTCTAATTCTAAATAGCACATGATAAAAAATGTTCACATAGTTTTAATCAAACAGAGTAACTATGAATCCTTTGATAACCAATCATTAAATTATTTTAAAAACTATGCCTAACTTTAGCTGTTGGAAAAATTATTTGACAAGTTCAGGTGACAGAGTAATTTTTTTTTAAATATGTTTAAAGGGATTGAATATCTAAGACTATTTCCAAATAGCCATTCAAAACTATCTTCTCTCCCCAATCCCATATTTAAAAAAATAACTTTGACATGACATTTGGGATTAACTTATATTTGCTCATCATAAAAACCGAAATAAATTTATGTATCCGAAATTGGTAAACTTTACAAACTATTAACATATGAGGAAGAGGTATATCTTACAGAATTATTTGGCTATATTATAAGGCAATCAATGAAGGACTTTTCCTATTATAAATCTGACATACGTGAAATTCTATAACATGATAATTCTCCGTAAATCTGAAAGCTTGTTGGTCTCAGCAATATGATCATCCCACACTGTCGTCGTTACTGAACTTTGACGAAAGTAGACTGAATGAGAAAGGAACAAATTTGGTGCCTGCACCAACGTAGAATTTGTTCTGAAATTCTACCCTAAAAAAAAAAAAAAAAATCAAGGTATTAATGGAAGATCATGAAGTAACATTCCTGTTTCTTAAAGCAACGTTTATTACATTAAAAAAAAAAACTTCCTGTGCTGAAATCACTCCATTTCATACGTGCTCTCGGCACAAACACTTTCCTCAGAGCCCCTCTCTCCCCGTGCCGACTTCCCTGAGTGCAGGGGTGAGGGTCTCTCCGCTGTGACCACACACATTGGGGCGCACAGGGGTGAGGGCTTCGCCACTTGGGAAGCTGGATGCAAAGAGGGTGGATCTGGTGCCGAATATAAAACACTAAGAAATATATAAGAATTTCACAGTAAGATAAAGTAATCTGCCAGGCCCAATTAAAAGTATGAAACATCGGGGCTGGCAGGTGGAGTTGTGGGTAAGGCGCTGGACTCCTACATGGCCCACCGTGGTTTGAGTCTCAGACCTGGTAGTTTGCTTTCTCACTTTCCCTTTCTCTTCTCTCTCTCTGGTCAAATTTTTAAAATAGTAATAGTAAATAAAATTAGGGACCAGCAGTTAGCGTAATGGCTATGTCACTGGACTCCCATGTAGCTGACCACAATTTAAGTCCCGGACCCGGTGGCTTCAACTCACGCACGTGTGTTTGTGTGCCCAAGATCCCAAGAGGAGAATAGAGGAGAAGGGATTGTGGCGTGGCTATCCCCCCCGCCGGGGGGAGTGATTTTTCGCTTTCTGTCTCTGTCTCTCTCTGTCCTTCTGGCGAGTGCACGAGCCCTATAGCAAAAACCTCTCCAAAAAAAGAAGATAAATAAATATTAAATTAAATAACTAATTTTTTTTAAGTATGAAACATCATCATCCCACCGCGTGAACTTTTACTTGTCAGCAGTCACCCTTCAAAAACAGAATATGATTTTACCTCAGAGGGTATGAACACAGATCCCAGTGACAGGAAGGGGGAGCACCCTGAGCCAGGCCTTAGGCCGGGGCGGGAGCCGTGCTGGCCTCTCGGCGGATGATGGCCAGACACAGCAGTGAGCCCAGGGACACGCGGGCAGTGCCACACAGCCTGGGCGTGCAGGAGGCCATCCCACCTGGGCGGGGTACGCACGCTCTACGGCGTTCACCAAGGATAAAACAGCCTAGCACCACATTTGTCAGAACATCCTGTCTATGCGGCCCATGACTGCGGCTTGGGGTGTTACATCTCTAAAATAGCCGCCGCAGGCTGACTGGAGACTCACCAGTGGAGGCGTATGGCGTGAAGAAACGCAGAGAGCCCTTCCATGATCAAGAGGATGAAGACCGTCAGAACTGCAAAGAGCGCGATCACCGGGAGCAGCAGCAGGACCCCGTAGGTGGTGTCCACGCGGAGGCCCACGCGCATCAGCATGGCCCACAGGACGTCTGACAGCTCTGGGAAGGAAGCCGGCTTGTGTTCAGTGAGCTACTGGGCTGGGCTTCCCTCTCACAACTCTGCATTGCTGTCCCATGAAATAAACTGCACGCACAGAACCTACATGCGGCCTGCTTCTCTGTAAAAGCTAACCAGCTCCTGGATGGCCTCGAACACTGAGGAAGACCCAGCAGTCCAGAAAAATCGAGGCCTCCCGCAACGGGAGATCCTGACCCAAACTAGAGTTCAGGTTCATTACAGAACAAAGCAGGGCCCAGTCCCAGCTCTGCCTCTAGTGGAGCAGTCAGACGACCTGGGCAAAGTACCCGCCCTCCATGGGCTTCAGTCCCCTCTTCTGCAAAATGAAGACAAATGACCACAGGGTCCCTCAGCCATGAAGTTCCAACATAACCTTTGGTTACGCCTATAAAATATCAGTGTCACAAAACCAAAAGCCTCCTCCACCATCACCAGTGCAGGCCGTCCTTGCTTAGCACAGCAGTGTGAGCTCATGAAGGTGACCATGAGATCCAACTGCCTAAAGCAACCAGTGGCGCCCACAGAGCCTCCCATGAGCCCCCTGAGGGCGACAGGGTCTCGGCGCTCAGCAAACACTTACGTGCATGAGCCAGACTGAGCGCCCAGAGCCTCAGGTAGGAGGCGGTGTTGGAGACGCAGCCGAGGCAGTACTCGATGGAGTGGATCACCTGGGTCATTAGTATCTCTCCGAAGTTGAACTGAGAGAGAGGACACGACACGTGTCAGGCCCGTGATGTTCCACGCACGCAGCTGCAGGTAAGCCGTCCCGCTGCTGGGACCACCGTGAAGGCACTGGCTGTGGGACCCTGGGTGAGAACTCGGTGCAGTGGGAGGGACAGTCAGTCCCAAGATGCGTGTTCTGCCCCCAGACAGCCACCAGCCAGCTATATGACCACGAGGTCATCCTCATCTACCTGGGCCTGTTTCCTCTCTGGGGTTGGACTAGAAGAACTGGGAATGCCACCACCGCCACACCCTAGATACCTGCTCTGAGATTCCTGGGCCAGTCTCAGTGGTTACAAACCACCTAAGGACAAAGCAGAGCTTTAAGGTCACAAGACTGAAAACATGTGTGATGAACCAACGAGAGCATTCCACAAAGAAGCTGACCCGGGAGAAACGATAAAAATGGCCCCTGACCACAAAAAAGCTGCAAAGCTCTGGGTGAGGTGACTAATGTTTTTTCTAGCTCTGCTGTTTTCTATAATCTCAAGACATTAATCATTAGTCACCCCAAATTAAAACACTAAATCATATAATACTTAGAAAATGCTAACGGGAAGTTTAGTCCTCCTCAAGTGGCCAAATGAAGTTTCCAAGAAAATCGGGCAGACGAGAGAGGTAGACCTGCTCTGCTGTCCACCCAAGACCAGCCCCCCTCTCTGGGGGGACCACCTTGTCCTGCTGACCTTGGAACCCACAGTCGCTGTGGACTGAGCTACGGCCTGCAAAGCTCAGTTTGGGCCCTCAGCCCAATGTGCCTGTAGGCAGAGAGTGCACCTTTCGAGAGGTCATGAAGGCCGAACAAGGTCAGTGTGACGTCCTTTCCAACATGGCTGACGTGCTGGGAAAAAGAGGAAGAGACACCGGCGACAGGTGTGTGCAGAGGAAAGGCCGTGTGAGGACACAGGGCAAGGGCGGCCGTGAGGACCGGAGCGCAGGCCTCAGAGAAGCCAGCCACATCGACTCGACCTCGGACTTCCAGCCTCCAGGACCGTGAGAAACGAGCCTCCATTATCCCCGCCCACTGCATGGCTTTGGCTATGACAGCCGGGCAGGATGGTCTCGCTGGTCCGACGATGGCCGGTGGCCGCACCCGGGCCACCAGTCACACTACCTTGGGCATTTTCCTAGGGTAAGGACAGGCAGCAGTGCTTCCCTCCGTTTGAAAGACTGAAGACAATAAGCCCAGGGCTACCTGGGCCAGTACTCCAACCTCAAGGGACCAACAGCTTCAGAAATAAAGAAAACTCACAAAGTAAAACCCAACCACGGCCTCCCGGGATCTGACACAAGGCGGGAGACTCCCCTCGAAGAAGAACGTGACTGGGTCTCTCCAGTTCTTTCAACTGTGGGGAAGTTCTGACCGACGGGAATCTCCTGACGTCATGTTCATGGCACCTTCACTCGCTTCAGTCATAGTGGATAACATCCCCACTGTAAATCCCGCTGTGACGGTGAAACTACAAATAACCCCGAACACTTACATTCTATGCCCACGCGTGGCCAAAGCAGCACTCGGAAACTCTGCGTAACCGCCGTTTCGTTTGGCCTTTCTAGACTGATTTTTTAGATAGTCATCATTTTTACCACGCCGATTATCTCCACGAAATCTCAAGGTTCATCGACAGCAGCTGAAAAGATTACCTCCTCACACGTCACCTCTCTGCATCCATCTTCTGTCAGGTCACCTCCTCCTTCTATATCCTGGCTTCCGAGCAAGGAGACTTCTTCCTCGCTGTCTTTCCTCACCAGCGTGTAACCGCTCTAATGACCGAAAGAACGGGATCACAAGGTTGTGACAAACCAGAACTCCACAGTTCCTGTGTTTCTCCGAACAACTCAGCTCTTTGGGAATAAAAAAGTTCTTTCAAAGAAAGTAAGCATTTCCTATCCATTAGGATAGCTATCATTCAAAAAAAAATTTTTTTAATTAAAAAGTAAACTAGAAAGTAACAAGCATTGGTACAGATGTGGGGAAGGCAGAAGCCTAGCGCATGGTGGGGATGGCAAACGGTGCAGCCCTTAGAAAACAGCGCAGAGGCCCAGTCATGTGGCGCACACTGACCGATGCTACGATTCGGTT